GCTTTTATGAGGAGTGGCCAGCTATCAGATCGTTTTTGGATGAATGTCCCAAACCTGTTTGTTTAGGTAAATTTTTATTACTAACACTTATCGGTTCTTCTATCAATTACGCCTAAAATGGAGTTTGTTCTCCTTCAAGTTTCTTGGTGTTATAGCCCTCACTTCGTCTAAGCAATTTTTTGCACAAAACTTGTTTACATGGGCAGCACTTACTTTTGCTACTTTATACTTTATTAGATTATAAATTTAGTGGCCCACAATGGCATTTTCTTCGACTATCGAGTTTTATACGGTGAACTTATGCGATTTGGCTTCATTGATAAAGGAATGGGCATTCCAAAAGGGGTAAACAGTTTTTTTTAATCAAAGTTAGACTATTTTTGTTTGTTTTGATATTCTTTTCCTTCCTCTTTTATTATAGGTGGTATTCGTTGATTCGGTTTTAGCAATTCGGGAGATTGAAGACATATTTCTTAAAGAAGTGTTTGAAGCCACTAAGGAACTCGCTTCGCAAAGAGGTAAGTTCTTCATTTCATTGCACATTTTTTCACGTGTTTAATCTTTTTTTTTAGCTTTCCAAGAAGTTGCAGCCTACGAAGATATAACTGCTGAAGATAACCAGGATAGTACCCCTGGAACGAGCTCAGGTATCCAAGAATGTTGGAGATTTCTTTGCAGTTAACAGAGTTTTTATAGAATTTAAAGAAGCTCCACCTTCTGAATCTTCACCGACTACAGTAAAAAGGCGGCGAATAGCCACTTCCAGGAATATGAAACCGTAAGTTTCCTCTACTCCTTTGTAACCTGAGGTCTACCTGAGCAGCCTAGTGAACCTCTCTACTTCCAAAATGGATCTAGTCTTGAGAGCTGAGTCTGATCGTAATGAGAATCGTCTAATTCCATTGGAATTTTATTACTCTACGTCTGCCAAAAATCATTGTCAAAAATCTGCTGTCGGTTAATATTTTATATGAACATTTGCTGACTTCTTTCTTTATTTCCTTATAAGAAGCCTGAAAAAGGGTTTGTTGCAAATATTTCCAAATCCAAATGTTTGGCGTTCAATGAATCTCCTGTAGATCTCTGTAAAATTAAAATTTATGTTCTGAAGATTGATATTCTGTCATGATGCAATTCTACGGTCTGACTGTCAACATTCTTCAAGCTTCAGTTATATTCACATCATTGCTGTTGTTATTCAATCAAAATTTAGCGTATGAAACACCGACTTGTCTAAGCAATAAGTTTATATAACCCTTGAAATCTTTTCTCCTGCTTTTTGATGCCTGCAAGGGAGGGAACACTCAGATGAAGTTTCAGTTAAAAGAGGATACATTGGCATTGCAGCTTGGAATGCTGGTTCCAGTTTACATATTTGC